TCCCTCGTCATATTCCACACGTGGGTCTTCTAATTTACAATTTATTATTTCAAATGCTTTCATTTTAGCTTTCTGGACTCCCAATTTTGAAATGTTATATCCATATCCCAATTCATAGGCAAGTGTTTTCCAGTTCGGTTTCCTTTTAAGATGAACTATGCGTTTCTCATCCATGCTATCTCCCAAACATCTATCCTCGTCTAAAATTTCGTGCTTTTCTTTTATAAATACGTTGTATTCCATATTAAAATTTTTTTTATTGAGTTCTCCCCTAACATCTTTTAAGCTAATATTGGGGTTCAATTTTAGTGAAACCATCATTTCTGGTACGTTATCGATTTGAAATTTGACCTCGACCTCGGCCTCTGTTTTTTTTACTACATTACGCATGATTTCTTTCAGCTTAATTTTCTTCATAATGAATTCGTGGTGGAGGAATACGGTATTTCGATAGTACTACATGTACGGCATGTACGTATATGTTTTTAATGTCACACAATTATGATGATCCTATCATGCAATAAATTCGTGTGGCTAAAAAAAAAATCAGGCATTATTTCAGTTGATGGATCCTCAACAATTAGTTCAGGAGTGGAATTTGAATCGCGGGCTTATTTTATTTGATAACAGTTTCATACCAAGCGATAAAGTTCTTCTTGATAGTAATGGGGAGATTAATATCACGGAATATTTCGGGGACCCTTTGGTATACTTTAACGCGGCAAGTGAAAAGTCTTCAACAAATTCCATTGCTAAAAATCCCTGGGATCTACTCAGGAAAATTTTCACATTTCCTTCGAATTCAGAAGGTTATCACGAAGTCAGGTCTCATCTTTCTTCACATAGTAAAGATATCATTGTTCTATTCCCAATAGCCGAAATTACATACGAAGCATCAATTGAGAGATCAGCAGAAGAATACATTAATTTTGAAAAAAATTTATCTGACGTGGATATTAGTCAATACGGTCAATTCATAGCAACGAAACTTCTTGTTGGCGGGAAATTTGTGGTTAGAAATTATTTTGATATGACTAACTCGCAAAGAAATTTATTGAGATCGCACATTATATGGGCCTTAGAGGCTGTGCGAATATCGAAAGAGAATATCTTTCAAAATGCTTCGATAGAGAAACTTTCTAAAATTGAATACGAAGATCAAAAAATTTTTAGAAACCCTATAGAGTTGAAAAATTGGATGAGAAAAATATATGATGATACAGAAGTTGAATTAATTGCTTATGAAGAAGTAGTACAAGTTCCTTATCTGACGAACTATGATTTAGCTCAAAAATTTTCTGAACGTTTAATTCCTGGAATTAATTTTAGTCAAAAAGAGATCACATTAAATGAATGGGTTAGTGATGTTGCTTCTATCAACTTGGTTACATGGTCCGAAAAATTTAATTTACGTTGTGGGATGAAGATTGTCTCTAACAAAATTATTTCAAGCGAAGATGTAGCCACAAATTTCAAATCCGAACCAAAAGTATCTTTAAAGAATAATATTTATATACAAGCGGTTCAATCGAGTACCGATGTGGACGAATTTTTATTGAATAACAATATACTCTGCTCGTTTGAAAATATTTATCCCATTCCGTTTTACGATTACTTCATTGATGAGGTAACCTCAAAAAAAGTATTTGCACGTGAGAAAGAAAAATTTATGAATTATATAATTAGAATAGAGAAGATTGAGTTGTCTCTAGATGTAAATTCTATAGAACAAACGACAGATTTCAGGAATGCCATCCGTGATGCGCTCAAACAAATTAAACCATATCTAGCCTTGCGGAAAGTTTTTGAAAAGTATGGTTATTTGTGGCCTGCAAAGATAGTTTTGGGAAAAACAATAAGAAAACGCTGCACAAAAACATCAAATTCCAATCCTTCGGAATGCATATTATTATGTAGAGATCAATTGCTGGAAAATAAGATTGAAGAGTTGGTATCAAAGTATAGCCCTTATTTATCAAAAAAGGAGTTAGACGGCATTAATTTTTTAGACTCGCACGGTTATTCTGTTTGCAAAAATGAATTGAACATTTGGATAAAAGATCATGTGAATTTTTGTGACTATTATATAATTGGTTATGACGAATTTATCCCAATGTATAAAATTCTGGATCGCGAACAGCAAAGGGAAATTGAACTGGTATTAAATAACAGATCTGACTACAGAATATTAATGACCGGAGTAACGGAATATATAAATATAAGTGCCAATGACAGCGAACATGTGCAAATATGTTTCCAAGAACCGCTCAATAGCAGAGAATATGAAGTCTTCGGTCTTGCCGTTGATGAAAAAGATAATAAAATAGAGGATTGCATTGTAAAATTTGAATTATATGACTATTACGAATTTTCAGCTATAATAAAAAATGATTCAAGTCTTACTAGAAATAAAATGTGAGTATTGTAAATAAGTGTAGCTTCTATTTTCAATGAAAAATTTTTATTGACATTTCTCAACACAAAAATAGACGCATAATATGGGTTATAGTAGGAACACAATCTGTGCTCGGAATTTTTAGCCCTCATCTGCGAGAAATGAAAGTCGTTGAATTTTTTAAAAAGTCGCTCAAACCCGAGGATTTGAGAGTCGGCAAGGGTATAATATCAATTAAAAGTCCATCGTCATTAATATTTGGTTCTGTTATTCTAATTCATGCATCAAGTCATTATTTTGACTTTGAGCCCATAATTAAATTCAAATTGAAAGAATGGTCCTGTGATGTGCTTTATTTGGAAATTCTTAACAATTTGTCTCAAGAAATAACGCTAAGCCTTTGTATTATATCCCCAGAAAGTGAAAATTCAATAAAAGTCGACAATTCTGACAAAAAAATTAGCTATGAGCTTTTAGGATATAAGCTTGACAAAAGCACACGCGAAAGATTCGATAATTACAAAAAATTGGCAGAAAACGATGATGCTGATGGAATATATCAAGTTGGGTGTTGTTATGAAAAAGGAGTTGGGGTTGAGAAAAATGAACATCAGGCGTTCGTGTATTATCAAAAATCAGCTGGTATGAAAAGTGCGGATGGTATATATAAAGTTGGTTATTGCTACTTTAATGGAATCGGGATTAAAAAGAACGAACAGGAGGCATTCAAATATTATTTAAAATCTTCTGAGATGGGACACGTGGAAGGAACATATAATGTTGGATATTGTTATCTTAATGGAATGGGGGTAGGGAAAGATGAATACAGAGCATTCGAATTTTATCATGAATTAGCGAGTAAGGGAAATATTATTGGAATATATAATGTTGGATATTGCTACGAAAAGGGAATTGGAATTATAAAGGATGAATATAGAGCACTTGAATACTATCTGAAATCTGCCGAAATGGGTCTTGTGGACGGAGCATATAGTGTCGGTTTTTGCCATGAAAAGGGAATTGGAGTTAAAAGAGATAAGCAGAAAGCACTCGAATATTTTCAAAAATCGGCCGAGATGGGTCATATCAACGGAACATACAATGTTGGGCGTTGTTACGAAAAAGGAATTGGTGTTGGAAAAGATGAGTATATTGCATTTGAATATTTTAAAAAATCTGCCGAAATGGGTCATGCGAATGGTGCTTATAATGTTGGATGTTTCTACAAAAAAGGAATCGCTGTTAAAAAGGATGAATATGAAGCATTCAAATATTATCAGAAATCCGCAGAGATGAATCACGTGGACGGAACGTATAATGTTGCCTATTGCTATCGCTATGGAATTGGAGTCAAAAAAGATGAAAACAAAGCATTCGAATATTACGAAAAATTAGCAAACATTGGCGATAAAACTGGAATGTATAACGTTGGCTATTTTTATCTTAATGGGATAGGTGTTAAAAAAGATGAATATAAGTCGTTCGAATATTACCAAAAATCGGCGGAATTAGGTGATGTACACGGAACATACAATATCGGTCGTCTTTATTATGATGGAATTGGCGATAAAAAGGACAAAACGGACAAACACAAGGCATTTCAATATTATAAAAAATCTGCAGATATGGGTCATCCAAAGGGTGCATATTATGTTGGTGACTGTTACGAAAAAGGAATTGGGGTTGAAAAAAATGAACATAAGGCATTCGAATATTATCAAAAATCTGATAATATGGGAGATCTCGATGGTGCATTTCAAGTTGGAAATTGTTACTTCAATGAGATTGGAGTCGAAAAAAATGAACAGAAGGCGTTTCAATTTTATAAAAAGTCGTCGAAAATGGGCCATGCAAAAGGAACATATAGAGTTGGCAATTGTTATTATGAAGGTATTGGAATTAAGAAAGACGAACGTAAGGCATTTAGGTATTATCAAAAATCAGCTAACATGGGTGATACTGATGGTGAATTTCATATTGCCTATTGTCATCGCTTTGGAATCGGAATCGAAAAGAATGAACAAATGGCATTTAAATGTTATCTAAAATTTGCTGAAATAGATTATTGTGACGGTATAAATAATGTTGGATATTGTTATCAACATGGAATTGGAGTTAAAAGAAATATAAACAAAGCATTCAAATATTATATAAAATCAGCCTATATGGGAAGTGTCAGTGGGATGTATCAGGTTGTTTATCTTTATAAAATTGGAGTTGGTGTTGAAAAGGAAGAACGTAAAGTGTTTGAATATCATAAAAAGTTATCTGACATGGGTTATATAACCAGCTCAAACGATGTTATCAATTGCGACGATAACGAAATCAGAGCTAAAAAAGATGAATACAAGGCATTTGAATATTATAAGAAATTATCCGAAATGGAAAATATAAATAAAATAGATAATATTAGTAAAGTAATGTACAATATCGGATATTTTTATGAGAAAGGAATTGGAGTTGAAAAGGACGAGCATACGGCATTCAAATATTATAAAAAATCGGCTGAGATGGGCGATGTTCGTGGAATGCGTCAAGTTGGCTATTGTTATCAAAATGGAACAGGAATTGAAAAAAATGAAAGTAAGGCATTCGAATATTATCAAAATTCAGCAGAGAAGAATGATGCTGATGGGATAAGACAAGTCGGTTATTGTTATCATAATGGAATTGGAATCGGAAAGAATGAACAGAAGGCGTTTCAATTTTATGAAAGGTCATCCAGAATGGGCTATGCAAAAGGAACACTTAGCGTTGGTAATTGTTATTATGAAGGTATTGGAATCAAGAAAGATGAATATAAAGCATTCGATTATTTTCAAAAATCAGCTGAGATGGGCGATGTTGATGGAATGTTTGTGCTTGCCACGCTTTATCGAAATGGAACCGGGGTAAAAAGAGATCTAGAAATGGCTAATCATTGGTATGAGATGTAAGTAACTTGTTTTTGCTAAAATAAAACAAAAAAAAATTTTTTTATTAATACTTAATTAATTAGGGAAAGGAATGAATTATTAGGTAATTTTGTGATGTTTATTAATTATTAATTAAAAATATAATCTGAATATCTAACACTTATTTTTCTAGCAAAAAATTATTTAATGCACGATTATTCAAATTTTGACAATGAGCTAAAGGAAATATTGATTAAAAGTGAATTCTTTTTAACGTGGATTCCTTTTAAGGAACTTAAAAATATTGAAGAGATGGGGCGAGGGGGATTTTCAACAGTTTATTGTGCTAAATGGAACGATAGAGATGTCGCACTTAAGCTGCCTCATGCGTATCGCGAATTCATAAATGAGGTAAATTTTTACGTTTATTTGAATTCTTAATATGACATGTTTTAACAGTTATACTGTGTATGTATTGTAGTTAAAAGCATATTGTGATGTTGGCCCCAAGAATCCCACGTTTTTAAGATGTTATGGAATATCGCAAGATGATATCTCCAAGGATTATATTATTGTTCTACAAAATGCAATAATGGGTTCTTTGCGCAATAATATTCATGCGATCGCACAAATAGAGTGGGAAATGAAGTTAAAACTACTACTTTGCATTATTTCCGATCTTCAGATAATTCATTCTCTGAATCTTATTCATCGTGATTTACACAGTGGTAATATATTACAAGATACCCTCTATAGCGCATATATTGCAGATTTGGGTTTTCTGGTATCGGTTGATGCAGCAATGAAAATAGAATCATACGAAATTTGCGGAAATTTACCATATGTTGCGCCAGAAGTTTTGTCCGGTAAACCGAATACTCTAAAATCGGATATCTATTCATTCGGTATAATAATGTGGGAAATTTCAACAGGAAGAGTATTGACTTTTAATGATGACCCGTCTTACTTGTCTAAATTAAAATTTCAAGTTTGTAATGGCTTAAGACCTCCAATAATCAAGGGTACACCACAACATTATATAGAACTCATGAAAATTTGCTGGGACAAAGATCCAGAAAATCGTCCATCTGCAGAAAAAATACATGAAACAATCACAGAATGGAAAAATAAATAACATATTATAATTTTCAAAAATATTTATAAAAGTGAGTTCAATTTCATTACGTAAAATTACATCTAAGGAGGCAGTTGGCGATTGATTAATCAATAGGTTATACGGTATAAAGCTACTTTTAGTCTCCTGAAACTTTGATTAAATTAATTTTTCAAAAATAAGATCTAGATGTTTGCTTTATATTTTCACATGTTAACCGGCAAGTCTGTTTCTAATGAGTCTTGCTTAATTTGAACAAACACATAAACGAAAAAAAAAATGCAGAGGCCGGTAATACTATTTGAATGAGTCGCAGATAATATAAATTAAAGGTTTGATTGATTTTTATTTCGAAACAGGTCACTTAATTTTCATATACATACTGTATATTACCTTTTGCAAGTATTA